TTTTCTGTCTACACACACTTACAAAGTGACCTTGTCTGACCTTACAGAATTAAATTGGATATAAGCATGTATTTGTCCTGAACCTCAGACTTCTGTATAATTCAACTGCTTAGTCTTCATTTCCTCTTGGTTACGTAATAGCCATGTCATACTTACCGTGTCAAAATCCGGGTTCTGGTATTGTCTCCCAGAAGCCTAGCTAAGTGTTCTCCAAATGCAGCTTTTCCATCTCAATTGATGTGGATTCCATCTTTGTTGTTAGTGGAAAAATAATTCGGAGTCATGCTTTTTCTCACATGTACTATCCTTTGATTCTGTGTTCAGAACACCCCCAGAGCCTGACGGCACCTCACATTCCATAGTGTGACCCGCCTCTGAACAGCAGCAACTCATTGGGTCCCTCGAAGAGTCCTGTAGGTGGTCTACCTGCCCCAATCCCTGCCTTCTCTATTGAATTCTCACTACTCAATAGACAGAATGATTCATTAAAAATGTTAATTGCACATACTCAATATTCTTCAAAGTGTTCGCATTTCACTCGGAGTAAAATTCAAAGTTTTGAATTAAAAAAAACGGCCTCCTAGGTCCTAGTAATTAATCCCCAAATTCTGTGATCTACTCCTGCTCATTCCATTCTAAGTACATTGACCTCTATGTTCTTCAGTACATCAGAGACCCTTTAGTCTTATGGCTTTTGCACAACTTTTTCTAATGCTTGGAACGTTCTTTTACAGATTATCTTCATACTAACTTGCTCACACCCTTCAAGTTTTTCTCAAGTGTCAACCACCTCATGGAGGTCTATCCTGATTGCTAAACTTAGAATTATAACTCCTTCCCCAATTGTTCCTGATTCTTCTTGCCACATACACAAACCATTTCTTCAGTATAATACACTTTACTATTACTGTGTTTATTATTAAGGTCTTTCCTTCTGCAAGAATATAAATTCCAGAAGTGTAAGGTATTTTGTCTGCATAGTTCACTGATAAACCTGCAACACCTAGATGGTACTTGGTGCATAGCAGATAATCATTGTCTAGCTTTTAAATAAATTAATTAATGAATGATTTGCATTATTGTGATGACAATTGTGATAGAGAGAAACAAACATCTATGATAGCTCTTTATTATGGCAATTAAACCTAGTGGGAAGATTTTGGGTTTGGAACTTATGATATTAATTTGTATTGCTGTTTTCTCTTTTATTAACAATACGACTCTAGGTGATGAGGGAAAGGAAATAATGAAGCAGCTCAAAATAATAATTAGAAGAGTGGAAGGAGAGGTAGGTGAGAATGAGATCCCAGAAGTCAAAGAAATACATTAAAAAAATTGGAGTAACCAATATTAAGCAGCATTATAAACAAATCAACAGTTAATTTCATTTGAAAATTAGGGTATCATTGATGGTAAAAAAGAAATAGACATTTTCAGTGGTGTGGTAATGATAAGAGCTTATTTTTTAATAGGATTCCATAATGGATTACTTAATTTTGAACTGAGTATATAAGATTCTTTTTAAAATGCTTGTATATTGCAACTTTTTATTTTCATCCATTCATTTTACTTAAGAGTTAGAGCTGCTCTCACAAATTTTCATGTCAAAATTTTGTAGTGTTATGCAAAGGCTATCTTTCAATTTAGTCTGTGCATTTGATATAGTAAAATACTATGTAGATACAGATATAATTTTAAATTCATATAAGAAGGTTGCTTTCTGCTTAATTTTGGTCTCTTAACTCATCTTTAGTTTCATAAAGCAGTTTTCAATGTATAATGCTTATATAAAAATAAGTTGTTACTGGTTTTCTTCTAATATGATTTCCACAAGTTGCAGACAAGGCAATTGATAAAACTCAGAGTTATAAAAGTCTAGTCTGCTCTGAATAAATACAGTCTCTTTTCAAAATAAGATTACCTCAGCTGATTGTTTCATACACTTTTTCCCCCTGGTATAATTCAATAGTGTAAGTTGCTCATGAACAAGGAGTAACTTAATAATGATTTAGCAGACAACCCGAAGGATACATAAAAATAATTTAGGTAGTAAACAAGTTTGTAATAATCTAAGTGTATTTTAAATTAATAAACAAAAATTCATCTAAACATTTCAAAAAGTAAATTTACTAAAACAAAAAGCAAATTAGCCAAATGACATAGAACATCTACTTTTTAAAGTAGGCATTACCTAAACTATTTGTCATTCCTTAACTTCTGAGCTTGCCTGTGTTTTAAATTGTAGTATCTATAGTTTTCAGCTTATAAATAATGTATATGATTGTGTCTAGGTTTTCCTGTTATTATTTCTATTCTCAGGAAGTAATAATAAATACATATTATTAGTCAAAAGTTGTACCAATCAAGGAGATATAAGTAGTGATAGTACTCTTCTGAACAAGGTAGAACAGTTATTTATAAAAGTATTAACTTTTAGAAAGGCACTTTTCATCTTCTTTCCCTCCAAATTCATGATCATATTCCAACTTTTCTCTCAATTCATATACCAAAAAATGAACTTTCATAAGGAAAATATGGGATAATTAATTGTGGTAACACAACTATGTATTTGACATTATACTCAAACCAATTAATTAAACTGTTTTAAAATCTATACAATTTATCATAAAAATATAGGTTATCACATATAATTTTGGGGATAAAATGTTATCTCTAAGTATAACATCAAAGGCAGAAAAATGAAAAGATAAATAATATCAAAATATTAACTTAATACTTTTAAACTATATATCAAAATATACAAATAAAATTTAAATGTAATGACAAACTTTAAAAATTTTATATGGTTTTTATGACAGAAGGAAATATTCTTAATACATAAAAATATCTTCCAAATTAATAAAATTTATGAACAACTCAAAGGAAATGGCGCAAAGGAAAAGAAAAAACTTATAAAAAGATAAAAAATAATATAACATAAAAATATTAAACCTTGGATGCAAATAAATGAAAGGTGTAACCCCATCTGGGTTTATCAGATTAGCATTTTTTTAAAATAATTATTGATTTAATATATTTTTTTAAATTATTTTTTTTCTTGCACTCTGATGCTATTTTATTAAAAAATAAAAAATACTGGCCATAATCCATTAAACTATGAAGTTGGATTCTCAGTTCAGCAACGAGGTGAGACATACACTTTGGAACACATGGTTGGTTCAGTTCATGCACTAGACAGAGTGTGTGCCGTTCCTGTTTTACAGGTGAGATGGAGTGACACGCAGACAGAGGTTGAGTGAGTTACCCCAGTTCACCACAGGCTGAGGGAAGCAATGTTGAGACTTTGGGGCTTCTGAGGCCACTTGTGCCTTTGCATTATCCTCTGCAGCACTTGCAATTGTTCCTACTTCTCCTTGATTATAAAATCTTGACCTTTGCCCAGAGCAGCTCTTCCCTCCCTTGGCAGGTAAAGCCCCAATACTTTCAGGCCCTTCCTGTGCAGCTTGCTGCATTCTGCCTTCCTTTCTCACCACTGCTGTACCAGAGCAGGGTCCCCTCCAGGGCTGCCTCCTTCAGACCGTCTCTCTCATCTTCCGCCCCCGAAGCACAGTGATTAACAGAGTAGGTATTAATACACACACATCGGACTGAATTGGATTTGTAAGTGACTCCAAGGAAAGGGGTAGGAAGAAGTGCTTGGTAGCTGGGACTGTGGGATTCAGAAGGCTAAGAGACTAGAAAATACCACTGGAAAAAAGATCTCTAAGTTATAAAAGTCACACATTAGGTAGAGGCTTTGACAGTATAAAACTAAACAATCCAAATTTTAAAATCTTCCTAGCATCAGTAGATAGATTGAGAACCATGGCTCACATGAACAGAAATTTAGTCACATTAATTCAAGAAATGAGGCCCACTATAAGGAGGCCCAAGTAAGAGCTGGATGGGCCTGAGCAGGACAGGAGCCAGAGGCCCGGGGCAGGTGGAGGGCTTGTCAGCAGCAAGAGTAAGGGTGCCTTTGCTGTAATGGTGACCATTACCATGGGGACCGCTAAGTATAGAATTGTCTGCTCCTCGTCAATTAGTTTGGGTAAGATGGAGCTCTGGGGTTAGTACAAATATCTAGGGAAGGAGAGAGAAGAAACTCTTCAAAAAGGGAACTTTGATTAAATATTGACCCAAACTGGAATTTTAAGTTTCAATTTCATCCTAACACCAGAGAGGATGGGAACTCAAGGCCAAAATGAGGTCAGTTATAAGTAGTTAATAAAATACTTTACCTATATAATATAGTATAAAATATAATTTCAATCCCACTAAAAGTAAAAAATGTAGAGTTTAGCTAAATGACCTATAAATTTCAGGGACCCACAAATCTGAGTTTATAAATATGTATCATGAAAACTGACTTCTCTAACCCAGGTTTTCAGACTTTGTTTTGAATTAGAGATTCTAATTCTGTAGGACTAGGGTAAGGTAGAGGAGAGTGCATATATATCAGCACCGCAGATTCTGTTAAAGATATGTTATGTTGAAAACTTGCTTAACCTAATGCCTTCCTCCTTTAACTTTGCGTATGTTTTTAATTAGAACAAAAGGGGACAAGAAAACTGTACAGGCCTGTCATTTGCATAGTGACACCAAATAAGAGCTTCTACAAATTGTAAAATCACCACCTCTCTTATAATGTCTTTAATAGCGGTTTAGTTACATAATTTATAGTTTATAAAGGATGTTTAAGACTGGTTGGTAACTTAGTCTTATCTTGAATTTTCTTTTAAAATTGAGAACAGGGGGACTAGTTATAAGTTAAAGAATATTTCAGGATAATATGTTGGGTAAAACTCAAAAGGTACACTGATAGCAATTCTACAAGGAGCAAATACAAATATAACTTATTTAAGCCTATTGGTTCACATTTTTAAAAAGCACCCTCATTTCTTTAAAGTTAAGTACTATAAATGGTTCTTGAAAATCTATTGTGGACATGATATACTCAGTTCAACTCGCTGGATCTTGAGGGTGAATTTATGTGACCATCCAATTCACAGTCTAATTTAGTTATAAATCAAACAAAAATGTGACAAAGGTAGCATACTCAGTTCCTCAGACAGTACAGCTCCCAAGGCTCTCATCATCCTGGTTACCCTCCATTTTTGCTTTCACTTACGTAATTTTCTTTTAAAGAAGCAAAAAACGTAAAAGTCCACCAAAATTCTGAAAGTCATAGTTTGTATAGAACTGAATAATAGTAGGTTTGGCAATTGATATTACAAAGTCATTTTCAGTGCAAATATTTGTTCATTCTGGTTCAAGGCGAGGTAAAACAAGAAGAATCAGATTCCCAAATGCAGAGTCTTGAGTTATGAAGTATCTGGAAGAATGTGCATGTGCATGCTGCAAAGCCGCCTTCTGTTGGGCTGCAATGGGCTGCTGCTCAGCATGGTCCCGGAAGTCCTTATTAAGAGAGGGTCTCGGGAGTGCGATGCTAGCTCCAGGATGATTTGTTGAAGATTGGTTCTGCATTAGTAATTTTCTTCTCTCTTTGTCCAGTTCTGCCAAGATTGCAACTCTATTTTTGTTTTGAAAACCTTGTCCCGAAGGGTTTGCTGCCATCTTCCTATTTTCTGCTTCAATGGCAATTGATCTTGATCAGCACTTTTCAATCACCCGGGACAGGAGAGCGCCCGGGACCCTCTAGCAGTCGGCTCACCCTCTCAAAGGGGGCGCGACCACTTACAGACCCGCAAGGCCAGCCGCAGGTGCGGCTGTGCAACCTTCCCGCCCCCGCTGCGCTTCCTCCTCCTGACTGACGTGCGCCTGAGGAGGCAGAAGTCCCGCCTGCCGCGGGGCCCCAACAGCTGCTACGCACTGCGATTCCTGCTTTAAATGATGCTGGGGCAGACGCCACTTTGATTTAATATTTTTAAGATACAGGAAAAGCAATGATACTTCTGCAGACCAATTTAAGGATATATTCAAAGTATGTAAAAATGCATACCTTGTAACAAAATATTTCACTTATTAATCTTATAAAACAGCAAATATTAAAAGACTGTAAATGAACCATTCTTCTCCATGCTTACTGAAAATTAAATATTCCTCTGAGGAGTGTAGGAAGTCTCGCAAACTTTACTATAAGGAAGAAACTATAAGGAAGAAAATAAAATAGATAATTGCAGTTAATAAAATAGTGTACATTAGAGAATCATCAAAATAAAATGTTAGTTCTTTCCAAAACCAAATAACATTGATAAAACCTTTATTAGACTGTTAAGAAAAAAGCACAAATTTTCTATATCACATAAAAATATGGACAGCAGAATAGGTTCTACTGATAAGAAGCTAAGTGCTTTATGAAAGCCTTTATGACAAAATTTTTAAATTTTACACATTTTCACTGATTGATGTGCTTCTAGAATTGATATTTTTAGCTCTCCTTGATAATAGGGTCCCTGGAAAAACCATCATGCTTTCTTGATACTCATGTTGTCTACTACCATCATCTTAGCCTCAAATTTGTCATTTTTAACAATTTTTTCATCATTTCAGAGTCAGACATTTATCTCAGACTATTACCTCCAATAGTTTAAGCTCTTTTGCTCTACCCTTAACTCAAATGTTATTTCAATCTCACTAGCACATTCAATCAAGTGATACTGCCACTTTTCATTGTCCATTACTCCCTACCGATTCTTCCTTTTCTCCTTTCTTACTTTCAGGCAAACCTTTAACTTTAACTTTGGTTTGACCATGCCCTCTTTGATTGCCTTCATATGTCTTTTATTTTCTTGGACATAGCAGTATCACTGGTTAAAACCAATTCTTCACCTACTCCTTCCCTGGACCTGACAAGGATGTAGCTAGATAATACCCAAAGCATCCCCACTAAAAATCTCACTTTAAATATCATCTCACTGAAAGCTAAAAAAAGCTGAAGCTGCTCAAAATTTTTATTTTATTTCCCTGGCTGAAGACCTTTCTTCCTTTCCAATGGGAAAGCCAAACAGAGTGTAATAGGGAAAACTCAATTCGGACATCCTCCTGTCTTTCTCCTTTATTTTTAACTAGGACACTTACTTCAGACTCCAGATGTCTCGGCTTTTTTCCTTACACCATACAGTTCTAGGATACCAGCTAGGTGTCCTACCATTTAACTCAGTTCTGACACTACCTAGCTGGAGATAGAAGGTTAAAGGATCAGTCTCATGAGACTGCCTACCACTTCAGGTGCCAACTGGAACTGGTTAAATCCCCAGGTTACCTACAACTCCTTTCCAATGTGGCTACAAATCGGAGGTTCCACTGATATCCTCCTCATTGGATTCAATTATTTCCTGCAGCAGCTGACAGAACTCAAGGAAACACTTACTAAGGTACTTTATTAAAGGATATAACAAATGATATGGATAAACAGTCAGATGAGATACAGATACAAAGAGTGGGGTTTGAGACAGTCCTGAGTGTAAGAGTTGGGGTAAGTCACCCTCCCATCTCTCTCCATGTATGTAGATGTGTTCATGCACCTGGATGTTCCCTAAATCCCATACTATTGGGATTTTTATGGAGGCTTCCTCACATGATCAATTATTTTATTTAATTTTTATTAAAGTATATTGATATACAATCTTATATTGGTTTCAAGTAAACAACACAGGGGTTCAACAGTTACCCACATTATTAAATCTTCATCCCAACTACTGCAGTTACTGTCAACATAGGAAGATGTTATAGAATCATTGGCTGTCTTCTTCATGATGTAGTAACATCCCTGTGGCCAACTTATACTATGATTGGGAATTTTTGTGCCCCTTTTTCACTCACCGTCCCCACCCACCCACCTCAACCCCAACTCCTCCCCCCATGGTAACCACCACTTTTCAGTGTTTGTGAGTCTACTGTTATTTTGTTTGTTTTTGTTTTGTTTTGTTTTCAGATTCCACAAATAAGTAAAATAATATGGTATTTGTCTTTCTCCACAATTACTAAGTATACTTCCAAGCTCTCTCCCCTCTTTGGAGAAGTGAGTGTGTGAACATAAAATTTATAAGCTTCTAATTATGATATGGTCTTTGTGGTGACCAGACCACATCCAGGAGCCACCCAGGAGCCCAGCCAGAGTTGCCTCATTAGAGCAAAATATGCTCCTAGTGCTTTTATCACTTAAGAATATTCAAGGGTTTTAGGAGCTCTGTGTCAGGAATCAGGAATAGAGACAAAACTATGTATTTTCTATTATGTCACAAAAAGGGACACAACTTTCTCTACCACACTTACCACCAGTATAGTATGCCTTCAGTGTTATTATAGGTGAACCATCTTTACCCGTAGCCAAGACCAATCCTCCATACATATGCTAGATTTTAAACCTTCTCATCTATTTAGTGACATGACTCCAGTAGGGCTTTTCCTGTTTTTCTGCATCATCCATACATGTTCTCTACAAGATCTTTCTCAGCAGTCAACTATTACTTCCCCCATTTTAAAAACAAAAACTAAAGAACACTCTCCCTTCTCTTTTAAACCCACATGTATCTTTAGTTCATTTTTCTCATTATAAAAATTTCCTCATAGAATGACTAAACACTTAAATCCTGCGAGAGTTATGCTCATGTTGTGTGATGCCTCGGCACACATGTTTTATCCATCAGCAAAAGAGCATCCCATTGAAGGCTTTCCCCATAGTAATCAAGTGTGAAGTCAGAGAAAAATTATATTCCCATCAGAGGGCACATTGGGATGAACTGAATAGCTAGAAACTAGCCCGCTGGATCAATTCCTTTCTGTGATAACATAAATTTAACTAAATTTGACTTTCTTGATGTGCTGCCAAAGAAAAAAAAGAAAGAAAATTTCCTCAAATGGTCATCTATATTCACTGTGTCTCATGTCATTGTCACCATTTTTTCTCAAAGCCATTCCCACTGTGCTTTACTCCACCATGCCACCAAAACTGTTTTTGTTCTGACATCAGTGATCTCCACAACACTAAATGCAATGAATTGGGATATTTCTACCCTAATGGATATACTAGACAATATCTGAAATAGTGATGACTTACTTATCATAGAAGCATTTTCTTCTCGTGACTTCTTATACACTACACTCTCCTGGATTTCCTTCCATCACTGAGACCTCCCTTCTTAATCATCTTTGCTAATTTTTTTTCTCATTTCTCTGACTTCTAATCATTCAGAATGTCCAGGACTCAGCTCTTAGATCTATTAACCTTCAGCACACATGCAGTAGGTGAAATTATCTAGCAGCATGCTAGATATACAAATTAAGTATACTTCCACTCACCAATGACTTTCAAATTTTAACTACATTTAATCCAGATTTGCATATCAAATTTTATATATTTCAACTGATCTTCTGATTTCATGACAGCAACTACTTTCATAAGATTCCCATCTCGTAGAATTGCAAATTTATCTTTTCAGTTGTAGATGTAAAATAATTCAAAGTGATCCGTGAAATTTGTTTTCTTCTCAATTTACATCTGGTCCTTTGGCAAATAACCTTCATCCTGACTTATTAAAAAATAGGCAGAATTTACCCCATTTCTTCACTTCTACTGTTATTACTCCCGTCTAAATCATCATCATTTCTACCTGGCCTCTCTGCTTCCACTCTTCAGTCTATCTTTAACATAGCAGCCAGAGTGGTTCTGTGAAAAATTTAAATCAGACCATATAGATCCATGGCTCTATGCTCTCCAGAGGATTCCTGAGCCATTTAAAACAAACCACAGCAATAACAAAACCAAAACAAAGTTCTTAAAATGACTTACAAAGCCCTACACAAACACTACTCACTGCTCTGCCCTACTAACCTTTAGGACCTTATCTGTCACCACTCCCCACACATTCCTTCTGCCTCCATGCTGTTCCTTTAACATGCCAGAGAGAGCTCCCTGCCGAGGCATGCTTTGTACCTACAGCCATGGGCCTCCAAATGTTCACATGACTGTACCTCACCTCCTCAGGTGTTACCCAGACACTTCCTTCTTGCAGAGGCCTTCCTGACCATTCATGCCCCATCTACAACCACAAAACTGTGGACCCCATTGCATTTCCTGTACTACTGCTCTGCTTTATTTATTTTTTTAATAGACATTAATGGTGTGTTGATACATCACTGTGTATTAATGGTGATGGGTAAGAAAACTGTTTGTTTTGTTTATTGTATTCTCATAAGCTCCATGAGGGAAGGGCTATTTTCTGTATCCCTGTGCCAAGCACACAGTCAAGTGTACATAAATACTCACTGAGTGAGTTGCTGAGCAAGTCCAAGAATCTCTAAAAGCATAAGTATTGCCTGATTCCTGAACCAAATTCAAATCTTGTTTTCTAGGAAAAATAGGAGGATGAACTGTACTTTTAAGCATCCAAAAGAGTCTGCCATGTATATATTGATTAAAATACTTTAAGAGTGACTTTGTATTACCTACTTTTAAATTTAACCAGGTAAAAATCATGGTATTGCAGTAATTAGGAATAAATTAATGCATTTGGAATTCCCATAAAGTTTAAACTTTGTGCATTTCGTTAAGATTCATGAATTAGCATTTTGAAGGCATATTAAATAGCATTTAAATTAACTATATTTTAAGAAGGTAGTGAAAAGCAAACTGTACATAAAGAGACACATTTTCTTACAGTAAGATGGAGGGGCAGCTGGAAAAAAGAGGTCTGCTGTGCGGTAGGAGAAAATACATTAATTATACAAATATTAAGTCCTATTATGGTAATACATTCTTCTAAGGTTAATGACAGATAAAAAGATGCCATTACACAAAGTATATGTCTTCTGCTATTCACAAA